TTCGGGCCACGTAAAGTTCGGCCCCGGTCAAACTACGAGGCCGCGTTTTTTACTATCACGACCGGTAGTTCGACCGCGCCCGAACTGGGACTAAGGCTAAGCGCCGCTATCGCCAAATAACGGCTAAGACTCGCCCACACCGAGTTGAAAAAGCAAGGCCATCAATTATATTATGTCTAAGGCCATCGCCACCAATGGTCGACCTAGATTCGACTACGGTGAGTAAACGACTCGACGACAGTCGAAGTCGCCTACATGGCCAAGGCCATCAACTATATCATGGCTAAGGCCATCGCCGCCAACGGTCGACCTAGATTCGACTGCGGTGGGTAAACAATTTGACGACAGTCGAAGTTGCCTTTATGGCTAAGGCCGCCGATTCCATCACGACTAAAGCCGTCGATCTAAATTCGACTAGGGCCGCCAACGCCGACGGTCAACAAAATAAGCACAAGGCAGGCAATGGAAAAGAAAATTTATATATTTAGAAAGTCAATGACGGGTCATCCCCGCTTACACCCGGCCAAAGCCGATCAATACAAGAAATAAAAAAAATAATAATAATAATAATACAAGAAACGCCTAAAACGCCAAGCGGCAAACAAGACAAGAAAAAATGCGCAGACATCTTTCTACTCGGTGCCGTCTGCGCCATCATCTGCACCAGCGTCAGCCTCTGGCGTCGCCGCGTCAAAACCACAGTCGGCACGTGCCTCACGAGCCTTCTGACGCGCCCCCTCGAAAGCAACTTCGGTCACGACGCCAGCCTCCCACAAACTCTTATATACATCACATTGGGCCTCGGCAAAGACCCAAAGTTCTCGAGCCTGGCTGGAAGAAGCGGCCTGATCCCATAGCCGCTGATTCTCTTCTTCTAAGGCTGTGATCCGGTCCGCCATGGCCTGGGCGTCCTGCTCAAAGACACCAATCCGCTCCTCGAGACTCGCTTCTCTAAAGGCCGCAGCATCCCTTTCCAATGCCCGTTGGGATTCGTGCACGCGGATAGCCTCCTCCAACGCCCCGGCCCTCGACGAAGCATCCCTCACTTGAAGCTTCAATGCCGCGACCTCACCCTCCAACGCGGTCACTTTCCCGCTCCATGCCGCAGTGGTCTCCGCCGCCTTGGCCTCGCCCCGGCGCTCGCACTCAGCTGCGACCCTCTTTACCGCTTCGAGCTCCTCATCCTTTCGGCGGAGCTGCTCCTCGAGAGCACTCGTCCTACCAAGTATTTGCTGCATCTGAAGCTCCCGCCTCGCCAGCTCTTCGACCAAGGCCCGGCTGCGAGGATCATTCCTCAAGCGCACGCGCAACTCTCGGCACTGATCTCGGTAGCGGCGATACTTCTCCAGCACCCGCAAAAATATCCCCGAGCGGACCTTGGCTCGACGGATGCTCTCCACCTCCAACAGATAAGACTGCAAAGCAAAGACAACGATTAGAATAAAAGAATAAACCTAAGGCAAAGAAGAAGCGAACCGACGTAACAGTACATACCCTCAAGCCCATCACGGCTACTTCATTCATCAGCCCGACATCCGTGACGCCCCTCAACGACGCATTCTCGGCCTTCGAGCATAGCAGCTCGAACTGCGGCACCAAGCTTTCCCCTTGGAGCAATAAGTTCAATTCCGTGGGAACCTCGATAAAAGCGAGATCGCCCTCCTGCACGCACCGCTGAATTGGTGGAGCCTTCCTGGAACATACGGACGTCGTCGGGATCCAAGTCGGATTCAGACTCATCCTCACCCACACTAGCAGCCGCTGAGGAACTACCTCCCGTTTCAGCGACTGGAACCACCAATTGAGTCGCCGAAGCGACGGTATCATCACGGCCTAAGCCAACCGGGGCAACCCCCATTGTTTGTCCACCCTCGAGGGCAAGCGCCGCAGCCGCACTCCTCTCCGCGTCCGCCGGGGGGGAGTCCAAATTAATTACCACAGGAGGAGCCGGCGCGAACGCGACCCTACGCCTTATCAACGGCCTCTCCTCCTCCCCATCTGATGACGATTCCGCTCTAGGGCGCACAACCCCCGATGGCCCCTCGTCCCGAAGACGGGTCCTTGATGGAGAAGAAACCGCTGAAGATTCAACTGATGCCGCCCTCGGTGTTGAGCGCGACACCGGCGCTGCAGTAAGCCGAGCAACTGCACCAGGTCGACGAACGCCAGCTGAGGGGCCCTGACGCGGCGTGCCCTCCCTAATCACAAGAAAACAAGGTTGACGAATAGAGTCGAAACAAAGCAGAACCTAAGAAGAAATCAATTTTTTACCTGCCACGGGCCTACGGCCATGCCTCTCCCAGAAAGACGCCCATGTGCGTATCCCCCGCGTATGAGGGAGTACGGCCTCGACCCACTCACGTATCCAAGACAATGGGGCCGGCGGCGACCTGTCAGCTACAAAAAAGACACGAGTTAACGCCCATGATCACAAAT